TCCAAGTCAAAATAACTTCTTTTTTGAAAAACGTAGATTTTTTAAATAAAAAAAATCCTATAAAAACGCACACTAAAGATAATATAAAAAAGCCATCAAAATTGATTTAGGGGTGAGCAACTTGAGTAATTTGCAAAAGATTATAAGAGATAATGAAGAAAAAACAATAGAAAAATTACTCAGGCTATAAAACTATGTTTTAAAAAATTGACAAAAAAATTAACGTAAGAGATAATAGAAAAATTACTCATAATGTAGTACATGTATTGGACAAAATAAAATCAACCTAAGAGATAATAGAAATTTTTAAAATTTTTGGTACCCAATAACTCAGGTTATAGAACTTTGTTTCAAAAAAAAATATAAACAATGTAGTACATGTATTGGACAAAAAAATCAACGTAAGTATTTCCAAAAAAAAAAAAAAAAAAATCAACGTAAGAGATAATAGAATTACTTTAAATTTTGGTACCCAATAACTCAGGTTATAAAACTTTGTTTTTTAAAAATGGGTAACTTACATTAAACCACCCTTCATTTTCAAAAAGACCACTCTACACTTTCAATTTAAACAATTAACCCCCATCCAGTATTAATTATTAAATTATAACAATTAAATGTATTGGATGATCTTTTAAAACTGACCCTAACTACAAGGTAATTTTATGAAATTTAGCATAAAAAGATGGATAATTCATGCCCTTTAATTTTTCTATCAATAACTCATGCATCTTGACTTTTCTAGCACGAAACAGTATATAATAAAATTTATTTATAATAATGTTTTAATTATCCTATCTAATATTTTTTCATATTAAATGAAAGATATCACAAAATTTTTATTTTGTACATTGATCACCAATCAGTTAAAAAAAAAATTATTCTTATTCAAGGTGAGTCGAAAACAGAAAAACAAAAAATTCATTACGCACTATAGTTTGTCTGATATTGACAGTCGGAGTCAGTCAACCACCAAATCTGCATTCATATGGAAGAGGAACCAGCACAAATCATGGAACTTAATTTTCAGACCCTTTAGCTCATTTGAAGCCATGACTACCGTTTCAAACTTTCAATGCTGCTATGGTTAATTAAGATTTGAGTCTAAGCGTCTAATTTTAATTTTATTTATTTTAGTAAATAAGCGTCAAAATTTGATGCTAAAAACTTACACACTAAGACGTGTGTTCTCCATATTATTCAATTGATTGAAAATTTGAATTAATTTAATGTACTTTTTTTTAGCAGAAATGAAGTTTAGGGCAGTATATTACCTATTTACCTTTTCCAAAATCAGTACAAATGGGACATCCTAATTGCATCAGCTACAGTACTACTGATGCGCACATTAGCTAACCCACAGAATCGGAATTAAGAGTAAATTTTTTTTTTTTTGATCCTCAACAAAAAATATAAAATTATTTTAATTTTTTAGAAAAAAAAATATTCATATTAATTTTTTTTAGGCACTAACATAAGGTTTTTTTTTTAATTTCAGAAAGATTATAATTTTAAAGAATTAAAATTTCAAAGGAATCACAAGTTCATTTTTTTTCCTAAGAAATTAAAATAAATTTCATATTTTTTTATTGAGGCCCAAAAAATATTTATTCCGGAATTAAAGAAATCAAACACAAAATAAGAGATTTACCATGCACTAGCACCTTGAGTAATTTTTATTTTTATTTTTGGAAATACCTTGAGTAATTTTCTGGTTGCATCTACATTAAACCCGCCTCAGTTTTTGGAGAAACCACACAGGACTAAGAGTACGAATTAAAACAAGGGATTTGACCAGAACACAAGGATTGAAGAATAAGACAGAGGAAAGCCCAAAACGAGGAAAAATAATTAAGTGATCCACACTCACTTAATTATTTGGTGATCCTTCTTACATGAATAATTTTTTTTTTTCCATTTTTGTCCCTCTCATTTTTTTGTTTTTGGATTTTGCCCTCCTGTTTTGAGAGAAGGAGCCCCCTAAATTTTATGGGGAAGGAGCACTACATTTTCTCTCCAAAACGAGATACTTGAAATGAAAAGTGCAATTGACTGTAGAAAGTAGAAACACGAGAATATAACCTCGATAATTGCCATATAAACACGTGTGTTTACACGGGGCAAGTGAGTTTCTTTTTGCACATACAAAGAATTTATTAAGGCGCGACTGGTTTATGGTAATGAAAAAATGTATCATTTTAAAGGATGTAAAGTTGTGTAATTTTAAGACAGAGAAATATATAGATATATAAAAGAGGAAAGAGATTTGACAAAAAAAATAAAAGTATGAGTCTCACCTATTTGTAAGAGTAAAATGATATAAATTATGTCATTTAAAAAGATAAACATTTTTCCCTTACGGTAATTGTCGTCGTACTTGGCTTCTTTTTGGTTCTCACAATTCACAAACCTATGATGCACCGGCACGACACGTGATATGAGATATGACACGATATGATACGTGGATACGTTAATTTTAAAAAATATCATATTTTGATATTAAATAATATTTTTAATATATATAATATAATTTATGTTCAATACATATAACAGTCCATAATAAGTCATATAACTAATTAAATATTTAAATTTAATAACATAAATATAAAGCAAAAGTAATTTTTCATATCTTATTAATTTTTTTATGTAAAATTTTATAATAGAAAAAAATTGACTTATAAATTAATTTTTAATTTTTATTTAATAAAATAAAATTTAGAACTAAAAAAAAGAAGTGTCGAATTGTAAACTGTGTGTCGGAAAAAATTGATCGTGGTCAAAAACACGTGTCAAAATATATCAGATCATCGCGTATCCAAAAATATTAACCACATATCAGACACGTGTCGAAATATATCGAAACATGTCAATGTCCAACAGACATTACACACGCTATTTTTTTAGAAAAAGACGTGTACGTGCTTCTGAGTCGCAAACAATAAAAATTCACCAGAATTTTTGCTGTGTCCGTGCGCATGACACGCTAGGTATGGCGTAATATACAATGTTCGAGACAAAGAAGAGTCGTATACGACGGTTGCTATGGCCATGTCATTGACTCCGTCCTTGTGTTACTTTGACTTCATTATTTCCCTAGTAATTATTACTTTATTTAAAAGTAGAAAAAAATGATTCAGTTGGCGTTAATTATATAAGAAAAGGTAAAACAAATGCCGTTAGATGATTTTTTTCTTTAATTTTACTAAGTGATGTACACTATTACGAAAATACTATAAATATTTGTCCTAATAGGATTTCCCTCGGCTTAACGGACTTTATTATTAATAATAATATTATTATTTAACAATCTTATTTCTATATTTTATTTTATCCTTTTGCTCTTACTTTTCTTTTTTGTGGGTAGAATGGCCCTCCGATGGCTGAAAGGTTGTCTTCATTATTATTCTCGCTCTTATCTCTCTTTCTATTTTTGATAAAAAGAAAATATATAATATGAATAAAATAATCTATACAAATAGTGATCTACTTCCGGTTCTTATAGTTCCTTTTAAAAGATATATAATATTACCATAACACGCCCTTATCTGTTTAATAGTCCTTTTTTCAAGCTTAGTTAATTAATTTTTTAAGTTTGAAATAGTAAATTTATAATATTTTTTTAAAAAATTTACATTTAAGGCAATAAAATTAAATTCCTTGGACTGGTTTCAGTTGTTTGGTTAATTGCAAAACAATATACCAGCAATTATAATAAACGCAAACTCAAGTTTTGACTAGTTGGGTAATTGGAAACGTGAAGAAAACCAATGATATATGAACTTAACACTGGCCACAAAAAGTTTTGACTAGTTAATTAGTTTTTCTTTTTCTTCCAAATTTTTTTTTTTTTGTTCAGATGGCCTGAATCATATCCTCTTACAGCTTATGCTGTCAAGTTAACGAATACTCGTGTATTATTTCATGTATTTGAAAATATTGTATAAGAATTAAGAAAGTTGTTAAATGACTTTAATTAAAAAATATAACTACTTATGATTAAATTATTATATATTAAAGTATTCAAAATATTAAACTTCTATTATTATTCTCTTATTTTACTTAGTAAAAATATCAAGAGACAATTACGAAAGTTGAATAAAATTAACATTTTCATGATTTTTTAAAATGATACAAAGTATATTCTTAAAAATGATTAATATTTTAAAACGAATGTAATATTTCAAATAGCCTATTGTTTGGATAAAGTTGCGAGGATTTTTTGCACTCAAATTTATTTGGTTCGGATTTAGAAAAAAGTGGATTTGAATACTATAATATTATCCAATGCCGACATGGCATTGATTTCACATTAATTTTAACCATAAAAAAACCAGAAACTCAGCTTAAGAACAGTAAGTCAAGCTGCCAGTGCCTGCCATTTTCAAAATGGGCCCTCTCCCTAAAAAGCAAAAACCGTCTAAACTCAATTCTGCCTCTTGGTTCGGATACACCAATCTAGACACGTTCTTCATGTTATCATCGAACAGTGCATTAATTTTTTATTTTTTTTAGTACATTAACAGTGCATTAATTTAATTTAAAAGCAATTTAAGGCTAGATAATTCAACGGTCCACAATTTAATTAAATGGTTATTTAATGCCCTTTTATTCTTTTAAACTCTTTATTTGGTTGAATTGGTTTCATTGTTACAAGTTTATATAACGTCCAAAAGCCGTGCGCTTTCACCTCCACTTTCATGTTAAACCCCATTCTTTGTTTGCAGGCGCCAGCGATATAATATGGTCGGTCATAAAAACACGCTTGAAATTGAAAAAAATTGCTGAGGAATTTGAGTTGGTATATGAAAGCGCTAATACTCTGTCAACCCTAACCTTCTCTTTCTATTCCCATTACCATTAGTGGCCGTCCCTAATACTCCATATTCCAGATACGTCCAAATAATTTAAAATACTGCAGCACAAACACTCCCCCTTTTAAATCCCTCTTTTCTAAACTCTTGCAAAGTGCAAATTCCTAACCTTTTGTGCTTTACACAAAACAAATAAACAAACAAACACTCTCTCTCTCTCTCTCTCTCTCCGGGTGAAAAACTGTCCAAGCCAAGCCATGTGCAAGTTATCATCTACCTCAACTTTATGTGAAAGCAATAAGGGCCAGGCAAATATATCCGCAACAAAAATGCAGGAACCAGACATGTTAACCCTTTTGATCCCCAAATCCCCAACATTAGAACAACAAGGCCAAAAGCCACATAAAAGCCATTTTTCTCTGGCCCTCAATGAAGCCAAGTGCATATTGCAGATAGCATTACCTATGGTGTTAACTGGCCTATTACTCTATTCTCGTTCCATAATTTCCATGCTTTTCCTTGGTAGAATAGGTGAGCTTGCTTTGGCTGGTGGCTCTCTTGCAATTGGATTTGCTAACATCACAGGTTACTCCATTCTCTCCGGCCTTGCCATGGGGATGGAACCCATCTGCGGTCAGGCTTTTGGAGCCAAAAGATTCAAACTTTTGGGCCTTGCGATGCAGAGGACAGTGGTTCTTCTTCTTCTAACTTCGGCCTTTATAACATTCTTGTGGCTTAATATGAAGAAAATATTGCTACTCTGTGGTCAACAAGAAGATATTGCCCAAGAAGCTCAATCTTACATACTTTACTCTCTTCCTGATCTCGTAGCACAATCATTGCTACACCCTTTGCGAATCTATCTTCGAAGTCAATCTATAACCCTTCCTCTCACATACAGTGCGCTTCTGTCTATTCTTCTTCACGTCCCCATCAATTATTTCCTTGTCTCTGTGCTTCAGCTCGGAATCAAAGGCATCGCTTTAGGTGCTGTTTGGACAAATTTCAATCTCGTGGCTTCATTGATTACCTACATATGGGTTTCAGGGATACACAAGAAAACATGGAGTGGTATTTCGTGGGGTTGCTTCAAGGGTTGGAAAGCACTCTTGAATTTGGCAATTCCAAGCTGCATTTCAGTTTGCCTTGAATGGTGGTGGTACGAAATCATGATTTTACTCTGCGGATTATTGATTAATCCACAAGCAACTGTTGCATCCATGGGGGTTCTGATTCAAACCACTGCCTTGATATACATTTTTCCATCTTCCTTGAGTTTTGGGGTGTCCACAAGGGTTGGAAATGAATTGGGTGCGGAGAATCCCCACAAAGCCAAACTTGCAGCACTTGTGGGTCTCTGTTTCAGTTTCATTTTGGGATTCTCCGCCTTGTTCTTTGCCATTTCAGTGAGGAACGTGTGGGCTTCCATGTTCACACGGGACACACAAATCATTGCTTTGACGTCCATGGTTTTGCCCATTATTGGATTGTGTGAGCTCGGAAACTGTCCACAAACAACTGTTTGTGGCGTTTTGAGGGGCACGGCGAGGCCAAAGTTGGGAGCACGCATAAATCTTGGTTGCTTCTACCTAGTGGGAATGCCCATTGCAGTGTGGTTGAGTTTCTTTGCAGGGTTTGATTTCAAAGGCTTGTGGCTCGGTCTGTTAGCCGCTCAAGGCTCGTGTATGCTGAGCATGTTGTTCGTCTTGGCTCGCACAAATTGGGAAGGTCAAGCCCAAAGAGCTAAGAAGCTCACATCATCCGATCCTAGCGAGGAAGGAGAACATGATGTGTTGGAGGAGAATGAACAAGATGAAAAAAGCTCTTTGAGTTCATGCGTTTCAAAAGAATGCTCTGATTCAGTGGTTTGATTGATAATTCTAGTGATAGCACATTCACGGGAAGGATTCTTTTATATTTTACATTCAAGATTGAAGAGATAAATTGATTCTTTTTTTCTAGATTGTACTAATTTATAGTTGTAAATTAAAGAAAAGAGAACGGTAATTAGGGGAGAACAGAGAAGAGGCAGAGTATAAACTCATTCCTTTTTTCCTTTAATTGTTTTCATTCCCACAGTTTAATGTTAAGAAAAAATAAAAAAGAGAATGATAACAGAAAAATACTTATGTTGCCTATAATTATGTTGCTTGCATGCATGCATGTTTTTAATTTCTTTTTTTTGATTAATTATGTGGACATACCATAGACATTAAGCATAAATATCATGGCAGAAAGACTCAAAACAATGACTATATGCTGATTGAGAATATATTAAACGTGGGGTGGGGGAAAGATAACCTTTGTTTGGAATGGTAATTGGGAAAAACATGTTAGTGTTTGATTATTCTAATAATAATTGGAAAAAAACATGTTTGATTTCCGCCGTCTGCGGATAAAATGGTTGGCGGCCAGTGGGATTGCGCGTTCTAACTGTACTAGTTGGGGACTTATGTCGGTTGGTTGACAACGAAAATTGACAAGTCGCACTTTGATTACTCTGCTGACTACCTCAGGTGACTGTTTTTTTCCCCCAAAAGATTCAACACCTAAAATTTGACGTGTTTGAAGAAAGGGAATTTAGGATATTCCATGTTTTGATCAACTTAAGTAGCCTCTAGGATGTTTCTTATTGAGGGAAATATCGGACGAACCATAAACTATTGAAATTTGAAAAATCTTTCGGTTAGGTATTTCAATTGACAATTTCTTAGTTCAAATTCATTACAGAAAGAAACAGCTCTTAGAATGTGTTCAGCTAAAAAAAAACTGCATTTAAACTTCATGTACCTATACCTCTCAATGTAAAAAAGAAAAGAAAAATATACTACCCCAATTTTGTTTATTTATGTTATTCTTGTAAATCGAGTAACATTGTAACTAATTTAAAGGTTTTTGTTAACAAGTGGTCAGCACTTGTTAAAGAAATAATAAATATTAAATCAATATCAATAATACTTTTATCCCAAACTAATTGGGGAGTGTTTAAAAACTCGGCCCAAGTGATCAGTAGTCACGGATAGGGATAACAAAAATGAGTCAACCCGCATAAAATGAGCCGGGTTGAGTTGACAAAGAATGGTAACCCATTTTTTCTTGAGTTGACCTTGGGGCGGAACAGGATTTTAAAACACTTATTGGGGTCGGTGGTAGATGAACCCAAAAAAGATAGTTATAGCATTACGAGTTTTTGCTAATGAATATCCAAAAAGCGCTAGTTAAAGAATCAAAGTTAAAATATTAGATAAATTTTTTATATATTAAAAATAAAAAAATTAATAAAAAAATTAGATAATTTTTTCATATATTAAATAATATTTTATTTTTAAAATATGAAAAAAGTATCTAATATTTTAATTTTAATTCTTTAACTAATGCTTTTTGGAAATTCGTTAGCAAAAAAAACCCTTAATGTTATAAGTGAAGTGTATAAGAAGAAATTAATATTTATAGAGCATTTAGCAATGTTATTCATTTAAAACCTAGTACATTAAATATCTCATAATCAATAAATCAATTGATAATTTTTTTATTAGGTAAACAATTGATAACTTAAATACAATGGGTTCGCTTTTTCTGCAGTCACTGCAGATAAGTTATCTGCAGTAAATTTAATACGACATTGTTTTAGGGCGAAAATCTAGTATTTTTTTAATTTTAATTTATTTCAAGATTATTATAGTCTTTATAATTCTAATTTTTTTAATCTTTCAATTCAAAACGACGTCGTTTTGAGAGTAAATGCAGATAACTTATATAGTAACTGCACAAATATTATTGTGAAATACAATAGTGACTAAAGCCTTTGTCATAATGTGCTAAATGACATTGGTTCAACTAAATGAGGAAATTGTGTAAGGACTAAGGAAAAAGCCGAGAATGATACAGGTCCACAAAAGGGAATAATTGGTTCGCAGATGAAACCGGGTTTGGAGTTTGAAAACCACAAATTTTTTGAATATGAATAATAATTAACGTACATGGCATAAAATACGGAACTTCATCACCAAACTAACGACGTCGTTGTGTTTTGCTCATCCAATCCAACTCTGATGTCAACTTGCTAACTACTTTTCCTATCATTCAGCTGGCCTCTCGAATTTTCTCTCTTTCCACATGCTACCCAAAATTCAACTATTTAATTTTTAACTCTTCAAATAATTTGGCCGTGTGGCAGATTATTGCGAGTTCCTTGAAACTTGTTTGAAATTAATTTACCCTTTTTTTACTTTTCGAAATTCAAATACTTATAGTATTTGATTAGGTTAATACCATACAGGAAATTTAATAATTTTGAAGAGGATTAACAACGGGAAAAAAAAAAGGCCGCCGAAAAATTCATTGGCCCTTCAACACAATCGCTATCGAAAGACAATGTGGTCCTCGCCGGCTTCGTTAACCACATATACTTTATATATTCCTTTTGATACTTGGGGCATTATATATGATTTGGTATAATAACATATACATGATGACACTAGACTGAGATTTGAGGAAAACAGAAGAGATTAATTATAGTTTTTCTCATTACAAGAAGACAACAATAAGATAATTGCAACGTGATTTTTGTGTGGGGTAAGTTGGGTGAGAATCATTCAATAAATAAATTATTCTATGAAAGGTGTGAACCAATGAATGCACGGTTGGAATGTGTTATAATTGGACAAAGAATATATATCGCCGAAGAAAAGAAGCGGACGGCAGTTGCTACCATGCTTTATTATTATCATAAGCTTTCGTATAAATTTTTAACTGTTATTAGCCCATGGCCGCTTGTTAAAAACTCTTAAGAAAGTAGTAAAAGGATAATTACGACAATAGTAATATAAGATATTTTATTTTCATATGTCCTCATGAATCATTAAAATGAACAACTGCAACATATACTCTCCATATATTATATATATATATATATATATATATATGTTAATGTAACTTTTTATTTAGAAATGAATGGAGTTAATTGTCATGCTTGCAACCTTTTTGAGAGGGTAGATGATAACTTAACAACTAAACATATATTTTCTGGCCGCCCAAGTACATAGCTTGGAATTGGTCCACCATAAAATCCGAAGGTCAGTTTAATTGAAGTCAACCAAGCTCAACCGACTTAATTCTTATAGCCATAAAATCTTTAAGCCTGGTAGTCATTCGACGTCGATCCCCTTATCTTTACAATATAATTAATCAATCAGAATTCTTGTTTTAACTTCGTAACTAATACTCCATGCAATGTCCAAATGTACACCACAAAATGTGCATCACATGATATAATGATTGTATTTTGTGTGATAAAAAATAATAAGCAAGCGAGTCCACGTCAAGATTTATGTGTTGTGTTACTATTGTATGTGTATGATTAAATAACTAACTGAATGGATAAGACCTTTAAAGGTTGGATCTGGATAAGAGTTTGACTTCACTTTTAAAAAAAACTATATGACTGATTTTGCCATAATTGTTTTCATCAATGAAAACATTTTTCTTAGTAAAATTTAATTATAGGCGGCGTATAATGTCGAAATCGTACCATATCTTAGATTATAATTATAGCAATCACAAACATACAAGATTGGGTAACACGGTACATATTACATAAGGTTAGCATTGTTTTTTTTTTTTTTAACTACTTTTTATGTTTCGTTAAAATCCATGTTTTAAGTTTTTAATTCATAGCAAAGTTTTTATTTAAAGTAAAATGCATATTTTGTAATGTTCCGAGTCTTTTACGCTTACAAATTTAATAATGGGAGAGGTTATAGTTACAATTTTTTTTTTTTACAACCTCTTATAACCATATATCATAACTGTTGATTGGCGCCAATCAACAGTTATGATTTTCGTAAATTAAACTCATTAATTAATTATTAATTCATAATAAATGACAACCGTTGATTGGCAGAAATCATTGGTTATAAGAGGTTGTAAAAAAAAAGGTTGTAAGTATAACCTTACTCTTTAATAATTATAAAATTTTAAAATACGACAAAAGCAAGTTTTCAAAGAAAGAAAAAACACAATGCAAATATGGTTATCAATTTGAAGAAAGAATTGTAAGAATTCCAAATAAAGCTCTAAAGATTTATGCGCTAATTTTGTCCTATATTATCCCCAAAAATGTATGCGTTTGGAGCTGGAGTAAAATTCACGTTGAACTTGATTATATTAACATAATCTTCATTTATATATTTAATAATTAAAAACGACCTTTTACCAACGTTTTGTTCTAATGCAATAACTCTAATTATTTATAATATGCTGAAATTTAATTTTTGATTAAAGAAATAGAAGTATAAAAAATCAAACTCTTATTCCCGTTGGTTATGAAAATTCTCTCATGTCACGTCAAAGAATAAATTTCTTAAAAACTTAAAGTTTTGTTATCAAAAAAAAAAAAAAAAACTTAAAGTTTAGTTAAAAGGTCATAAATACTTTGGGTTTATCATCTATCATTCAACATGACCACAAAAAATTTCCTACACACACAACATTTTGTGGGACCCGCAGCAAAAAAAAAAAAAAAAAAAAACTTCGGCACGCAAAACGAATCTCTATAACATAACACAATCACTTTTCCTACAACATAACTCTTATAAAACCCAAATACTTTATATATCTAAGACAATGAAATTTAATCTGTCAATTTTGTTTGTTCTGCCGGCAAAATTTGACCAAATGAATGAGTGGATAGATCCACGACTCTGACTATCACTGTGTCCGCGAAGCAGCGTATGGGTTTCCCAGTTTCCCGACTAGATAGTCAAAACTCACTTTAGATCAGCTTTCGCTCGCCAAAAACCTTTCTTAAAAGAAGTATAAAAAATAATGTGTGTATAAGTTGCGTCATTTTAGTATTTTACACTATATATTA